AACAGTATTTAACTGGTATCTTTCTCCTTGATATCTCAATATAATACCAACTGGGACGTCCCACCGGAATTGAATATTTCTCCTTTTTAACTCAGACACCAGAAAGCCAAATTTCTTCCTTTCCATTAATATCTTAGGTGGGAGTTCCTTGTAAATCCAAATCTTTCTTCCATACAATTGCAAATTAGAATTGAAGGAATTTTGCACAATTTTATTCCTAATTTCTTTATCTGAAAAATAGATTACCACATCTCTAGGCAATTGCCTTTGCTTGGCAGTCCAAGAGTTTATTCGATAAGCTCTGTCAATCCTACAAAACACTTCCTCAGGTTGAATCTTTAAAATCCCAGCTAGAAATTCAGAAGATATTTTCCTTAAGTCATCTCTGTTATTTTCCTGCAAACCTCTAAGTCTTATTGCATATTCTGTGAAATTATATTGTATCTTTAGAACCTCTTTTTGAATCCTCTGTTCCAGATATTCTACATTACCAGACTTTTGGTCAGCATCCATTTTAAATTTTTCTTCTGAACTATAATCCTGAATATTTAACAAATCATTTTCAATTTTTTGAATTCTATTGTCCAATTTATCTTGAATTTCATCCATTTTTGACTCTAGTAAATTAGTATTTGTATCCAACCGAATCATGAATTCTGGCAATTTTAAAAATTTTTGCTGCAAAAAGTCAAACTTGGATTTCACCAATTCCTTAGTTTCCTGCTTAAATTTTTCAAGTTGCTGATTCACAATCTCATCCCTTCTTTCAATCTCCTCTAAGAGAAATTCTATTATATTAAAATCAGGTTTCTGGGACTGAAGAGTTAAAACATATTGCTTTAAATTCTTGGTGGGGGAATCCCCCCCACCTATTTGTTTGTCTGACTTCACAAGCCTCAGTGCCATGTTTCCGCCTAAGCAGGCTTTGTTAGAAGAAGAAAAAAAAAAAAACAAGACAAAAGACTTCCAGCCAGCAACACTCAAGCCTCCAGGGAAAAAAGAGAAAAACAAAAACAGGAGCGGAGTTTTGTCTACAAATGTAGCCAGTGGTATTTATTCCGCTACATTGTAATAATAAAAAACGGAAGAACTTTCCCTCTCAAACTCTTCTCCAGCCGCGGCAGACGCCATTTTAAAAAGAAACTTTTTTCCTCTTTCTCTTCCTCTATTCTCTTAAGTAATTTTTAAAAGATAAGTAAAATACTTGCGCTTCAGTATTACAGGTCCAGCTCACATTTTCTTTGAGTAATCTGTCAAATTCGCAAGCTTGCTTTTGACGCCTGGCTCTGCATTAGCAGAGGTCTCCCAAAGCCCGGAGCAACGGCTGGGGATATGGGGCATCTCATCCGCTCCATCCCAAAAGTAAAAGAAAAACTTTTGGGACTCTGCAGAGAGTTCTACCCACCCCTGCCGGCTCTATCTCCGTTTCCTCATGGGAACGGAGTTTTTTCGAGCCGCCGTTCCGTTGTAAAGGCGGCTCTAACAGGCAGTGGAAGCTGACGATCCCTAAGGAACGTCTGGCGGCGGCCAGCAGCAAACAGGAAGTCCACCTCGGGACTTACTTTTGATACAGTCGGCACAGTAGTCAATGTATAAGTCAGTCTCTCCTTGGTCTTGACATCTTTTAAGTTCTGAGCGGAGTTCATGGGAGCGAATTCTTTGCAGTATGGATAAGTCAGGCTGTGAGCGAAGTTTGTTATGGTTGGTGTTGGTTTTAGTGATGGAGTTTATTGTATGAATGAATATGCATTTGTTGGACTCATTCTTGCAATTGACTCTACAAAATCATGGGGCCATCAAGCCGTCATTGTACTTGTACTCAGGGCCATCTCTGGAAATTTTGATGATGTCTTCAGGGAAGATGTTTGATGTACGGGAGTTGCTTATAATGTTGCAAACCTTAGTGATATCATCAGATTTATTGGTGTCATCCAGGCCAAATAAAATAGCATTTAGACGTTTCTGTTCACGCTCAATGGCATCTTTGATGAGTAAGGAGATATTATTTGTTAGGTTTGTATTATTTGCTGGGTTGGTGGTTATGGTTGTTGTAGTGGTTGTTGTATTGAGGTAGGATTTTGAGCTGTTAGGTATTTACTTATCTGTGCTGTATTTTTTTTCAAGAGATGTTAGACATGCTTGTAAACCTGCTTCAAAACATGCTACTAAGTGTGCTTCTATGGAGACAATGGATGTTTCAATGGTTTTGACTCTATCAGACAGGACACTTTGATTGTCCAACTTAGGTAAACATGATGGACAGAGACAAGGAAATGTAGCTAATGCTTGTAGAAGATTTGCTATGTTTTTGGTTAATTTTAAGCAGGTGAGGTGGGCGTAATTGTCAGATAGGTGGCATTTAATGATATCCTCGTTATTATTGATAGTTTCAGAACATTTAAAGCATGTGCAGGAGTCATTTGGATCGTCACTGGTAGAGATACCTTTAAAAGTGCTAAATCTAGAAATACCTCAGCATAGATGCTAAAATTGACAATAGCAACAAGTACTGCTGCAGCACCTCTATGAGATAGTACATTTGTGTTCAGATTGATTGAGTACATGCATAAAAGAACTCCTATTTAGAGTTCTTGTCAATAGTAGGAACCTCAAAAGATTTAAATCTAGCCACTTGCACGTAAGTTCTTGAAATCCTGTTTAAGTTCTAAACCTTGTTTTTTTAACTATTAAAATGGAGCTTCTTACATATTTTAGGATTACTAGAAGTTCTGATGATTGCTAGGCTGTTTTTATTTACTTATCTTGTGATGTCTTTGGAAATATTAGTTTGCTTAATGGAAGTATAAATGGACATCTTGGCTTAATAATCATTGTCTTATAATCATAAACCTGTATGAACATCAAGGGTCAAGTCCATTTGAACAGTTTGCCCACCGGGCTTAGGACAGCCCCTGACCTCCTCCCCTTCCACTGCAAACTGAAGACGTGGCTTTTTCATCAAATGGACTGACCCGTTGAGGGGGGTTTTTACATTGTAATAATTTTAATTAATTTTAATTGGATTTTAATTTATATTTAATTCATATTGTTGAATTTTTATCTTGTAAACCGCCCTGAGTCCTTCAGGAGAAGGGCAGCATATAAATTGCAATTAAATAAATTAAATAAATAAATAAATAAATAAATAAATAAATACATTTTCATTTTCTCCTGTTTTAAAAAAATCAATTTATTTCATTTATTAATAAGAGAGGATTGCAAAAGGAGAGGATTATATACCTTAGAGTTTATCAAATATGCCAATACATATTTGCAAGATTGCTTATCAATTTACATATCAGAGGATTGCTTATCCATTTTTTTTTCTTCCTAGTGTTTTCATACAAGTGCAGAATCTACTTTTTTGGATCAACTGAGTGTTTATTGATTATCGTCTGAGCCTGATGTGGGCTGAGAGAAAGTAACTGGCCCAAAGTCACCTAGTCTGGCTTTCCTGCCTGATGTAGGACTAGACTTCATAGTGTCCTGGTATCAAGAGTTTTAACTACTAAAAAAAATTGGCTGCATTGTACGTCCAACATATTTTGGATTAAAAAAATGTTGCAGATAAAAAACAGTAATATTTGCTGCATAGCAAAAGCAAATTTCTGTTTTCTAATAAGGAATAAAATAGACAGTGATCATTGGATTGCCAATGTGGATTATACATTTTACTACTTGAACAAGTTTGTACATACCAAACACTAATGAGAGTTGCAGAGTCTAAGGGATAAAAATATTGATTAAAACTTTCTCTTGATAAAATATTAAACATTTTGAAGGCAAAGTGGGATTACTGTGATCCTGATGCATTTGCACATTTTTCTTCCAACAGCCAGTAATATTTATGATCCTAATAGCCTGATTCCCACATTTTCTGTGCCAGCAGAGAAATGCTTAAAATGGAGCACAGCTATCATAGTGCACCATTTACAAGCTCTGACATTACATCAGTGTTGCAAGAACATTATGGCAGCATTTCAAACTCTTTTGCTGCAGCAAATATCAAAGCCCAATATCAAACTGCTATTGGCTTTAGATATAGCTTTATCTGCTATTAAATGTTGAATAAATATAGCTCTCAACACTGATGCAGTAAATTTGTAGTTCAACCATGGTTTTACTATGGAAAATCATTACCTAATTCCAATTACTACTAGAGAAAGTTACATGTTTAAAAATCATGTTACCTTATCACTATGATTCTACAGAATTATGAATTTGTCTTAGCTTTAGAATTTAACTATTAAAATCAATCACTATCTAAATCAGTAACATAAAGTCACTATCATTGCTGTTATTTATTGGAAAGCTTTCCTTTTTAAGAGTCTATGGAGATTCTCAGTCATCCAGGTCATGATTGTCCCAAAGGTGTTTTTTTCAAGAGGCAACTGGATTTCCTTGTTTTTCTCTGAAGATGTTTCGCTTCTCATCCAAGAAGCTTCAGTTGCCTCTTGAAAAAAAGCACCTTTGGGTTTCCTTTTTAAGAATTTACATCTTTTTATGCTACAAACCTTTCCCCAACTAGTGACCTTCTATAGTCTGTTAGATACATGGCATCTTCCAAAGGTTTCGCCATCACTACAGAAAACAGTCTGCTCTGCTGCTGCACAATGTCTTTATTATCTAAAGATAAGGAAAAAGGTCTGGGAATGAAACCATCGTGTTCAGTTGAAGGATAAAATATTCTCTGGCCAAGTTCTAAATTATTTTGTTTGAAACAATGTTTGAATACCTAATAAGGAGAGCCACATATGCTTGAATTAAAGGTTTGAAGGCACTATCAAAGCAGCATTTTGTACTTGCAAGGAATCATCTAGTTCACTATTGCAATTATTAGAAGCAATCTATAAAGGAATGTTTACTATAATACAGTAGGCACAGACATTATAATATAAGTGGAAAACAATGCCGTAGAAAAAAAGTGTGTTCAGCACCATTGGTGTATTTCTTCTGTTCTAAAGATTATGTGAACTGTCGCTTACAAAAAAAACTCAGTAAAATCTCACAATATTTATTCGTTTTACTGTTTCCAACACTTATTAGGTAAAGGATTATTCTTTGGTACTGTCGACTCCCTTATTGGTTGCAATGGACTTGGCTGATCATCTAGATGGGAGCTAAGATTTTCAGATGTTAAGAGTGAGGAATTAAAGACAATTTCACTCAAGTCAGACTTGATACATATCAAATGGGGATCTTCAGAGCCTAAAGTCTCCTCAGCTAAAATTTGTGTGTTCTCTCGTGTCATTCCCATATCAGATGGTGATTTCCTTTTCATTTGTGTGTATGATTTGTCAAGATTTTCCATGCCTTGATCAGTTTTGTGAAAACGCCCAAAGAACCAGATGAAGAATCCAAACAAAGCAAATGCTAATAAAGATGGAATGAAGGCCAAGCATTTGACATCTAGGCTTGCACCAATGTATCGGCTATGTAGAAACATATCATCTTCAGTATAGGTTCTGTTGGTCAAAGGATTTGTGTTGTTTGACCGCCACTCCCAAGAAAGTTTGGTTCTATTGAGGTCCTTTAAGCTTTCTAAGTCTTCCACAGTATAAATTTTCTGTCCAGGACCAATATATTGACCATATTCATGTGGCTTGTAAAATATTTGATTCTTCCACATATTCAGATCCAAGATTAAAACGAGAAATATAATCCCATAATTAAACCATTTGCCTGCGGCAGAAAGAAAAGGATAATAATTAGAAAATCCCTGTTTACAACTACAACAAATAGTACATGCATAGTCAGAAGGAAAAATAAGATGTGAGCCTTTCCAATTAATTTCACAATGAAGTTTTAATTAAATGCTTCATAACAGTAGATCTGTGACTGAATACATTTTACAATTTAGCCTTGTAGTTAATCATTTGGAAATGTGAACCTAGAAATAAAATAATAAAATTCTTATAGGAACATCTAGGTGTCCTGTAGATTAAATAATTCTGCGCTGCAGTGCAGATCACATCATGGAAAAGCTGCCTTTTAATATTTTAAAATAGGTTCTGAAAAATAAAAGCTATGTATGACGCCTATATATTATCTTTATAGGTTATTTGTGCATTGTTACTACCATGTTTTCCTGAAAATAAGACCCTGTCTTATCTTTTTTGAACTCTGAAATAAATGCTTGGCCTTATTTTCAGGGAGGTTTTATTATTTTTGGGTACGTGGAGCAAGACAGGGCTCCTCTTGCCATCTTACTTGATTTCCAGCTCTGTCTCCCTAACCCTAACCAGAGGAAATGGTGGGGACCAGCTGGGTGTGCATTTAAATATTTTCAGGGAGGGCTTATTTTTGGAGAGGGTTTATTTTTGGGGAGGGCTTATTTTAGTGCATGCGCTCAAAAGCCTGATTGGGCTTATTATCCAGGGAGGTCTTATTTTTGGGGAAACACAGTAGTCATCAAGCACTATAATATGTATTGTTTTAAAAATGGAATTCAGAAGTTCAAATCATGAAAGACTGTAGACCTGCATGTTCAAGCAACAGATTAGATGGGGAATAGCTGCTTAGGGAATTCTGGGAGTTCAAGTCCACACCTTAAAGTTGTTAAGGTTGAGAAACTCCAAATTAGGCAATTATGTTATACTAATTACTCTTGAATGTTAACTTTAACAGATATGGAGTTAACTCTGAAGTTAATCTTCTTTTTCCTCATCTTTTTCCTTTTTCATACCACTATTCCAGCTTCTGCTCTCTATCCTTGTCAACCCCATGCTCTCCAATTTGATTTACACTATGTTTTATTTTATTTATTTATTATATTTCTATACCGCCTTTCTCCCGTAGGACTCAAGGCGGTGTACAGTCAAGAAAAATATAGACACACAAATATCATAAAATTGCTAATTAAAATTATTACTTAGTTTGGTCAATTAAATAAAACCCAGAATTAGATAACATTTAAAAAATTCATTCACATGTTCATATGTTTAGCCCCGCCTGTTGGAACATCAGGGTCTTGACGGCACAGCGGAAAGCACGGAGATCAGGGATATTCCGTATCTCCGGGGGCAGTTCATTCCAAAGGGTTGGAGCCCTCACAGAGAAGGCTCTCCCCCTGGGAGTCACCAGTCGGCATAATTTGACTGACGGTACCCTGAGTAGTCCCTCCCTGTGAGAACGAACTGGTCGGTGGGAGGCTATTGGTGGCAAAAGACGGTCTTGTAGGTATCCAGGTCCTAAGCCATGGAGTGCTTTAAAGGTGATAACTAACACTTTGAATCGCATCCGGAAGACCACCGGGAGCCAGTGCAGCTCGCGTAGGAGAGGTGTTACATGGGCGTAACGAGCTGCGCCCATAATCACCTGCGTGGCTACATTCTGGACCAGTTGGAGCCTCCAGGTGCTTTTCAAGGGGAGCCCCATGTAGAGAGCATTACAGTAGTCCATACGGGAGGTAACTAGGGCATGAGTGACCATGCGCAAGGGGTCCCGATCCAGAAAGGGATGCAACTGGCGGATCAGGCGGACCTGATAAAAGGCACCCCTGGCCACGGCCGTCAAATGATCTTCTAAAGATAGCCGTGAATCCAGGAGGACACCCAAGTTGCGGGCCCTCTCTGTGGGGAGCAAGATCTCATCTCCTATTGTCAGTGATGGTACCAGCTGACTATACCAGGACGCCGGAAGCCACAGCCACTCGGTCTTGGAGGGGTTGAGTCTGAGCTTGCTTCTCGCCATCCAGATCTGCACGGCCTCCAGGCAATGGGACATCACAGCAAGGGCATCATTGGGGTGGTCTGTGGTGGAGATGTATAGCTGTGTGTCATCAGGATACTGATGAACACTCACCCTGAAACCATGGATGATCTCGCCTAGCGGTTTTACATAAATGTTGAACAGAAGGGGTGAGAGGACTGACCCTTGTGGCATCCCACAAATAAGGTGCCTCGAGGTCGACCTCTGCCCCCCTGCCAACACAAACTGCGAACGGTCAGAGAGGAAGGAGGAGAACCACTGAAGCACGGTGCCCCCTATTCCTAACCCCTCCAGCCGGTGCAGTAAGATATCATGGTCGATGGTATCAAAAGCCGCTGAGAGATCTAATAGGACCAGGATAGAGGAGCAAACTCTGTCCTGAGCCCTCCAGAGATCATCCACCAACGCGACCAATGCCGTTTCCATGCTGTATCGTGACCTGAAGCCCGACTGAACGGATCCAGATAGACAACTTCATCCAGGTATTGGGGTAGTTGTTGCGCCACCACACTCTCAACAACCTTCGCAACAAAGCGAAGATTGGAGACTGGACGATAGTTTGATAATATAGCCAGGTCCAGGGAAGGCTTCTTGAGGAGGGGCTTCACAACCGCCTCTTTCCCTGAGTGAGGGAAAGACACCCTCACTCAGAGAAGCATTTATAATCCCCTGGAGCCAGCCTTGTGTAACCTCCCGGGAGGCCAGAACCAACCAGGAGGGACACGGGTCCAATAAACATGTGGCAGCGTTAAGCTTGCCCAGAATCCTGTCCACGTCCTCAGGAGTCACAGAGTCAAACTCTTCCCAGATAACGCTCTCAAGACCTGCCCCCGTCTCCTCCCCTGGATCTACCCAATCGGAGTCCAGGCCTTCCCGAATCTGAGCAACTTTATCATGCAGGAATTGTACAAAATCCTCAGCTCGACCCTTTAAGGGATCTTCCCATACCCCCACCTGAAGTAGGGAGCGGGTCACCCTAAACAGCGCAGCTGGGCGGTTCTCTGCAGATGCAATAAGAGCGGAGAAGTAGCTAGACTTCGCCGCTCTTATCGCCACTAGGTAGGTCTTAATATAAGATCTCACCTGTGTTCAGTCAGATTCAGATCGGCTTGTCCTCCAATCGCTCTCCAGGCGTCTTTTCCGATGCTTCATCTCTCTCAGCTCCACGGAAAACCAAGGAGCTAGACGAGATCGGCATCGGGTCAGAGGCCGCAAAGGCACGACGCGGTCCAAGGCCCCAGTAGTCGCCCTGTCCCAGGTGACCACCAGGTCCTCAGTCGAGTCGTGAGCCAGAGTCTCAGGAAATGGCCCAAGCTCCATCAGGAACTTTTCGGGGTCCATCAGGCGCCTGGGACGGAACCATTTGGTTGGTTCTGTCTCCCTGCGGTGGGTGGAAGTGACTTGAAAGTCCATGTGAAGGAGAGAATGATCAGACCATGATAAGGGCTTGATGTCTATATCCCCTATTCTTAGATCATTCAGCCACTGATCAGAGACAAAAATCAAGTCCAGAGTGTGTTTCGCCAAGTGGGTGGGGCCTTGAACTACCTGGGTCAGGTCCATGGCCGTCATGGAAGCCATGAACTCCCGAGCCGTCTCCGACATCTCACCAGCGGATGGCAGGTTAAAATCCCCCATAACAATAAGTCTGGGGGTTTAACTATGTTAAACATGACTTTACAATATATGCTTTTGGGGGTCAGTGCTAAGTTGAAGTCACTCAGTTTTATTCAGTAGAGCAGAGATGGGCTACAAATAATAATCTAGGTTAATTAATTTCCTCATCAGTTTTACTCAAATGATTAATGCTGAATAATGGCAACCAAATATCATTTGAAGAAACATGATCTTTGAATAAGATTGGAATGATTTCACAAGTATTAAGCAGTGATTTAAAAGATGCTAAACCTTTGGTGTCTTTTTCTTTCCTTTTCTCCCTTTATACTATATCTTTCCCGCCCCTCTTCTTAGTTTTCCAGTACTTTTTTTTATTTTTCTTTGTATTTTATATTTTAAAAAGCCAATACAAATCATACAGTACATGAAAAAGATGCTAAACTCTTCACAGAAATATATAGAAATACAGACTAATTTATCTTAATTTTTATGAGTATGTCTTTTATTTAAACTATTGTAGACAGTAACTCAAAACCCACAACTTAAGTTGCCATACTGAAACAGGAGGGTCTTATACTATAAATCATATTAATCTATGTATTGTATTATTCACAGTATTATGTTGCTCTCAGAAGTGTTGACGTGGGAGTAGAAGTTATGTTGCAAATCTCAGGAAAGTACAAGGAACAGAAATAAGGAACTTGTTAAATGTACTGATGAGCTTAATGACCTATGTTCTATATCATTCCTGTAACGAACTTATATTAAGCAATATGTCACCAGATGTGTTCATGGAAAGTAACAGACAGTGTAAGATAGTTCCCATATATGGAAATAGAGTCAGAAGCGTAATGCCTCTGGTGTGGCTAGAATTGCAAAATGTATAAAAGGTACACCTTGGGCGTAGCCCAGGGTTCAGAATCTGTCATTCTAATGCTCTGAACCTTTGCACAAATAAAAACCTGTGTTCTCCAATCTTTGTGGTCTTGTCTCCTGAATTGGTAATGTGGGTTTTCCCACTATATTTCTGGTGGGCCAGCCAAGAGACAACGGGTCGAATTTATGACTCTCTGGAGGGTCACCCCTCTGCCGGGGACTCTGTTCAGTTAGGGGGAACTTCCCAGGTGCCATCGGACCATTCGTTCAGAGGGACTTCCCGGTGACGCAGGACTCCGGCAGTGGCAGTTGACACCTCCAAGAACCACCTGTGAAGGGAAGGAGACCAGGCCAGTCTGCAGCCGGCCGGTGAAGGAAAAGTCTTGCAGGCAAATATTGGGGAAGGCGAAAAGAGGTAATTATCCCTCCCCGTATACCAGGGATGGAGGAAAGGACTGATCACCCTCTCTTTGGGTAGAAGGGGGCTGGAATGTGGTGAGTGATTGAGAGTGAAAGGCTACTGCGGTTCCCAAAGGTGACTGTTGAATGTCCAGCACCCTGGGCCAGTAGGAAAGTGTCTGGCATTCGCAGTTCCCATTGGAGGCCATGCTCATCCGGCTCCCTGGGTCAAACGTGAGAGAGTGAAATGAATCCCTTCGTGTTGTCCCAAGAGGAAGGACTCCTTACCTTCCTCTGATTCCTTTTCCTCATCTGTCTTGTCTGATGCCCCGGGAGGAACATGAGAGAGGGAGGAAGTGTGCCCCTCACTCCATTAGAGTGTATGTTACAGCATTTTAAGATTGGTTTTATGACTCAAGACTACAGCGTTAAGTGGAGCAGGCATAAGTTATGGGTTTTCTGTGAGGGGGAATGGCCAACCTTTAATGTCGGCTGGCCAGACTGGGGAACGTTTGACCCCTCCATAGCTTTAAAGGTACATCAGATAGTGTTCCACCCCACATTAGGGCACCCAGACAAAGCCCCCTGCATTAATGTGTGGCTCAGCTTACTTCAAAGACCTCCGCTTTGGATCCAGAAATGCAAAGTTGAGCAATGTAGGCTCCTAGTCTCACGCACCTTGCCACCCCGAAAGGGAAAAGATTAGGATTGCAGTATCAAAGATAGTGAAGCCTGATCTACCCCAAGGCCACACTCCTGAAGCATATGCCGAGGAAAGCTTCCCTATGAAGGATCCCTTGTAGTGTCCAAATGGCCAATTACGGGCAATTCAGGACTATCAACATTTGGTGGTGCGGGCAGCCTGTGCAGCAGGAAAACCAGCTGTTAACCTGTCCAAGCCTTCCCTGGTGATGCAAGAAGCCACTGAGAGTCCGGAAGTTTTTTATACTCAGTTGCTGGAGGCATACCAAATGTATACTCCTATTGATCCAACAGTGCCTGAAAATGCTCGAATGCTTGCCATGACCTTTATATCACAAAGTGCCCCAGATATACATAAAAAGTTACAAAGACTGGAGGGAACCCTGGGAAAGCCTATGAGTGAACTGATGGAATTGGCTCGAAAAACCTTTGTAAATAGGGACAAGGTGGAGGAGAGGAAGCAGGACCAGAAAATGCGGAAGAAGGCTGAATTGCTGGTCGCTGCTATGATGGGGGTACCAAGAGGAAGGGGAAGTGGCAGAGGTAAAAGGTATGGAATGGGTTTAGGACGTAACCAGTGCGCCATATGTCAGAAAGAAGGGCACTGGAAGAGTGAGTGCCTGGAAAAGGATAAGGAGGAAGGGCAAGAAGGAAGAAGAGGCAGGTTTGTGAAGAACTACAGAGGTGGCCTAGGGAGGAACCAGGGAGGGAGGGGACGAAGAGAAGAATTTTCAAAAGCCCCCCTCATAGGCCTGGCAGAAGTGGAGGAATGGGACTGAGACCAACCGGGTTCAGCCTGCCTCCCGGAACCTGTGGTCAGTTTAAAATAGGAGGCAAACCTATCCCCTACCTTGTGGATACTGGGGCCACTTGTTCAGTCCTAACCCAGCCTCTGAGCCAAGCCTCCCCCTACTCCACCAATATCCAAGGAGAGATGGGGAAGAAAACAACAGTATGCCTGGACACAGTTACCCCAAGGATTCAAGAACTCCCCAACTCTTTTCGGGGCTGCACTGGGAAAAGATTTGACGGCCCTGGAAATCCCCTACCCAGATGTCGTGTTGCAATACATAGATGATTTGTTAGTCACAGGCCAGACGGAAAATGACTGTTGGTGAAACACCATGACCTGCTCCATCTCTTGCAAGAGCTGGGCTACAAGGCATCCAGGAAAAAGGCATAACTAGTCTTACAAAAAGTCAGATATCTGGGATATGACATTGAACCAGGTAAAAGAACTCTCGGCCATGAGAGAAAGGAGGCCATATGTCAGTTCCCGGCACCTAGGAATAGGAAAGACTTGAGGGGTTTTTTTGGGGGGGGCTGCAGGCTTCTGTTGCATCTGGACCCCCAATTTCAGTTTAATTGCAAAACCTCTCTATGAAGTTATAAGAGGAAGTGATAAGGAACCTCTGCGATGGGAAAAAGAGGAAGAGAAAAGTTTCACAACTTTAAAAGACGCTTTAATGCAAGCTCTCAGTTTAGGACTTCCTGACTTAGACAAGCCGCTTCAGCTGTTTGTCGACACTAAACAGAACATAGCAGTGGGGGTTCTCATTCAGAAATTGGGAACATGGCATCACCCTGTCGCTTATCTATCTAAACAGCTTGACAATGTAGCCAGAGGTTGGCCTGCCTGTCTTAAAGCTCTCATAGCATGTCACTGTTAACACAGGAAGCTAGTAAATTGACTTTTGGACAGGAATTAGAGATTTATACCCCCCACGCCCTCAAAGCTGTCTTAGAAACAAAAGGACATTTGTGGCTAACCAACCCTTGCATGCTTAAATACCAAGGTTTAATTACCCACAACCCCATGATCAAGTCAATACAATCTACTACATTGAATCCAGTCACATTGCTGCCTGAACCAGACTTACAAGCTACTCACGATTGTATTCAGACTATTGAGGAAACATATACCAGCCACCCAGATATGACTGAAGTTCTGCTTTCCAACCCCGACTTTACTTTATACACAGATGGCACCAGTTGTGTGCAGGATGGAATACGAAAGCTGGGTATGCTGTTGTAACTCTTGAAGATATATGGGAAGCTGAGCCCCTCCCCCCTGGTACAAGCGCTCAGCTGGCAGAATTGCATGTTTTGACTTGAGCTTTGGAATTTGCGAAAGGCAAATGTGTCAACATTTATATAGACTCTAAATATGCCTTCTTGACAGTGCAAGTGCATGGGGCAATATACAAGGAGCCTTATTATGGCTGGGGGAAGGGACATTAAGTACGGGCCTCAGATCCTACGCATGTTGGACAGCGTCTGCCACCCCCCAGGAAGTGGCTATTATGCACTGCAGAGGTCATCAAAAGACAGCTTCAGAGACACAACAAGGCAATAATAAGGCTGACCACGAGGCTCACTGAGCTGCGCTGAAGCCTTTAATTATACAGGCAAACTGTTTAATCAGGGGTGAAATCTAAATTTTTTTGCTACTGGTTCTGTGGGCGTGGCTTAATTAGTGGGCGTGGCTTGGTGATAAGGTGACTGGGTGGGTATGGCCAAGTCAATGTCAGTTCTTTGCCCTTTTTTAACCTACAAAATACAACACAACACAACTGGCTCACCCACAATGTAGGAGCAGCTGTGCTAGACCCAAAATGGCCCCTGCAACAAGCAGGAACCTCACACAGCCACAAAAAGTCCTCAAAAAAACAACTTTCACACTTTACACACACAAAATTCCACATACAGCTTTGTGAGATTTTGTGTGTTTGTGTAGTTAGAGTGAAACACTACAGAAACACACAAAATCTCAGAAAGCTGCACAAATATTATTTTATTTTATTTTTATTTTTATATAAAAGCAGCTAAATTTAAAACTTCCTAAACTTTAAATGGCTAGGTCTAAAAAAAGAACAACTAAAAAAAAAAAACCAATTAACTATTTTTTTTAAAGCTCCCAAAGGGGAAAAAAACTTACCCAATAGAACAGGGGTCTCCAACCTTGGCAACTTTAAGACTTGTGGACTTCAACTCCCAGAATTCCTCAGGCAGCTTTGCTGGGAGTTGAAGTCCACAAGTTTAAAGTTGCAGATAGAGCTGCTCACCGATGAGCTTGATTGCAGGCAGGGAGATTCAGTTGCTTGCTGATGCAATGGATGGCAGGTATTACAGCGACCAGCAGCTAAGGTAAGCAAGCTGGAGGCTGGGGGGTGGGGGGAGAAAAAAAGAAACTTTTTTCTTTTAAATGGGTCTGACAATCCAAGCTGAGTTGCCTGATTAGCAGGCAACTCAGCTGGGATCGTCAGAGCTTGGATCGTCAGAGCCATTTAAAAGGAAAAAAAGGCTCTGATGATCGCGCGGCTCAGCTGGGCATGGGGGGTGGGGGCAGGGATTTTTGCTACCAGTTCTCTGAACTGCCGGCCGCCATCGCTACCTCCCTGCCCGAGCCAGTCCGAACCGGGAGCATTTCACCCCTTTGTTTAACTCTATGGGTCCCAGATGAACAAATTAGATCTAATTATTCTAAGGAGGAATTGCAACAAGCTAAGGAACTTGAGGCGATGTTGGAAGATGGATGGTGGATTCTTCCCGACCAGCGCATTTTGGTCCCAGGACCCATGGCATGGGATGCTGTGCGATAAGTCCATAAGCAATTATATTTGGGAAAGACTGCATTGGCCAAGGCCCTGCTACGAGAAGTATACATCAATAAAATACACAGCATTGCTGCCAATGTCTATATGAGATGTCAAATCTGTGCAGCCAACAATCCCAAACAAGGGCCCCAACCGCCTCAAGGACATCAACCCACAGGAAGTTATTCTTTTGATTCCCTGATGATTGATTTTACAGATATGCCAAGATCAGCTCCATATCGTGCAATGTTAGTTCCTATTTGCACATATACTGAATGGCCTGAGTGGACTAAGGACTAAGAAGGCCATAGAGGTTGCCAAGGTGCTGTGGAACGCTGTAATCGGACTATTATTTATTTATTTATTTATTTATTTATTTGATTTTTATACCGCCCTTCTCCAACAGGACTTAGGGCAGTGAACAGCCGAGATAAAACATAACATATAAAATTTAAAAAACAGTTTAAAAGACATTAAATAATTTCGGCCCTCAATTTAAAACAACCCAGTTAAAACCAATTTCAAATTAAAACTGAAAGGATGGGATCAAGCCAGCCCGGCTAGATGAAATAGATGTGTTTTCAGGGCCCGACGAAAAGTCCGGACGTCTGGTATCATGCGTATCTCTGGGGGTAGGTCGTTCCAGAGGCCACAGAGAAGGCTCTCCCCCTGGGGGTTGCCAGCCGACATTGTCTGGCCGACGGCACCCTGAGGAGGCCCTCTCTGTGCGAGTGAACTGGCCGGTGGGAGGCTATTGGCGGCAGAAGGCGGTCTCGTAGATACCCCGGCCCTGAGCCATGGAGCGCTTTAAAGGTGGTCACCAACACCTTGAAGCGCACCCGGAAGACCACAGGAAGCCAGTGCAGCTCGCTCAGGAGAGGTGTCACATGGGAGCGCCCCGTCACTCCCATAATCCCCCGCACAGCCGCATTCTGGACCAACTGGAGCCTCTGGGTGCACCCCAAGGGGAGCCCCATGTAGAGAGCATTGCAGTAGTTAAGTAGTTAAGTATTAACGAAAAACTGGCTAAAATATGCCAAGAAACTCATCTAAAGTGGCCCAATGCCTTAAGCATGGCTCTGGTGGCTGTACGGTGTGCCCCCCGGAAAGGTCTGTTTGTGTCACCTTTCAAATTGTTATACGGGAGGGTCCCAAATCTAATTAGGTCCAATATCCAAAGCACAGACTACATTGCAGACACAATAAAATTGAAACAATTACAAACACTTAACACGGTAGTCCAGAGATTGCAGCAATATATCTTGATCTATAAACCCCAGGTATTGGTGACCTCTACCCATAACATATCTCCCAGACAGGAGGTCTGGGTAAAGGATTAGAAGAGGGAAACATTAAGTCCAAAGTGGAAAGGACCGTATACTGTTGTTATGTTCTCCCCTTGCTGTTAAGGTAGCTGAAATCAAATCCTGGATCCATTGGTCCCAAGTTAAAGTGGCTGCCCCAACCCAGTGGAAAGTTGGAGGCAACTCGGTTCAATCACTGAAACTAACTCTTCAAAGGACAAGAGGGAACCTCTCCCTTTCTGGTGATACTCCGGGAGCTGTCCCTCTACGAACGGGAGAGGTGAAGAAAACCCCTGCAGGTGTTACTCTGGAGGCTAACATCTAATGCACAGGTGACGAAAGGAACTTATCCTGGAAATTGCGATCCCACAACCGAACAACTTTATTTTATTTATTTTATTAGATTTTTATACCACCCTTCTCCCACTGGACTCAGGGCAGTGAACAGCCATGAATAAAAACATCACATACAAAAATTTAATTTTTTTTAAAAAAAAGAGTTAAACAAATTTTGACCCAATAAATTTAAAACACCCCAACTAAAATCAATTAACAATTAAAAATATCTAGGGGTGGGTGGGTGGGTGGAGTTAAGCCAGCCCAGCTTGATGAAATAAAAAAGTTTTAAGGACACGGCGAAAAGCATGGAGATCTGGGATCCTATGTATTTCTGGGGGCAGGTCGTTCCAGAGGACAGATGCTGCCACAGAGAAGGCCCTCCCCCTGGGGGTTGCCAGCTGACATTGTCTGGCCAACGGCACCCTGAGGAGTTCCTCTCTGTGGGAGCGTACTGGCCGGTAGGAGGCTATCGGTGGCAGAAGGCGATAAGTACCCAGGCCCTAAGGCATGGAGCGCTTTAAAGGTGGTAACCAACACCTTGAAGTGCACCCAGAAGACCACTGGGAGCCAGTGCAGCTCGTGCAGGAGGGGTGTCACATGGGAGCACCCCATCGCTCCCATAATCCCCATAATCCCCTGCATGGCCACATTCAGAATCTGTGTAGCTATATGTATTGTAGGCCTTGTAAGAGAGGGCGGAGACTCAGGAGTAGGGGGGAATGAGGGAGTAACCCCTAGACTGGTGTCAAGCTGCACTCGATAGTCAGAATATGGAAAGAGTGCTTGCCCCTACTCCCACTGTAAATTACCCAGAGGTAATGCATGGGGAATATAGGAGCCCAGACACCCCTTCGAGTACACAAGGGGGGAGATCCATAACATGCAGAATGTGGTGGGCTCCAAGATACCTCTGTGTACTGAATGCTTTGTGGCCTTACCCTCGGGTAGGCATTTTGTTTATAGAAGTACCAAACTCCCCAACTGCTCTTCCAATAATCTCCCCCTTGTGAGCATGAAGGGACTTGATACTGGCATATAATTCTACTATAAGGTGTCACCTCCTACGTACTCCTTGGGTCCCTGTAAACCTCCGTCCTCGGAATTTGGCCAGGGAACCAGTGTATGATGAAGTTGGAAACATCCAATCCAAGAGGGCAGCCATTGACACTTCCTTGATTGAAAAGGTTAAAATAGGTCATTGGAAGGATGATGAATGGCCACCAGAAAGAATCATTGAGGTGTATGGACCAGCCACCTGGGCAGAGGATGGCACCTATGGGTATCGGATCCCCATCTACCTGTTAAACCGCTTGATTAGGCTACAGGCTGTTGTAGAATTAATTACTAATGAAACTGTGAAAGGCCTCACCAAATTAGCTGCTGAGAGCGTGAAGTCTCGAACATATATCATGCAAAACCGTTTAGCCTTAGATTACCTCCTAGCCAAGGAAGGAGGGGTAAATTTAATTTGTCTAATTCCTGTATTGAGATCGATGACAGTGGCAAGGTCATTAAGGAAATAACTGATAAAATGGTCAAAATAGCCCACATCCCGGTTCAAACTTGGAAAGGATTTAATTTCGCTGATGTCTTTTCAGGTTGGTTCCCTAAACTGCCGGGTCTGCAAGCTATCGTGGCATTGATTGGGTTAATAGCTGCTGGATGTGTAATTTTACCCTGCATTCTCCCCATTTTTGTTCATACAATTTCTAACAGTCTCTCTCTGCTCGTGGATAAAAAGGCAACAGCTCAGGCGATGGCTTGGTGGGAGTATGAGAAACTTAGCTCGATGGATGATGACTTCCCTGTTTATGAAACTCCACAGTAATCAGGGGATTTAGGTGGAGTTCCAAAGGGGGGAATGAGACAGGAGGGTCTTATAATATAAATCATATTAATCTATGTATTGTATTATTCACAGTATTATGTTGCTCTCAGAAGTGTTGACGTGGGAGTAGAAGTTATGTTGCAAATCTCAGGAAAATACAAGGAACAGAAGTAAGGAACTTGTTAAATGTACTGATGAGCTTAATGACCTATGTTCTATATCATTCCTGTAACAAACTTATATTAAGCAATATGTCACCAGATGTGTTCACGGAAAGTAATAGACGGTGTAAGATAGTACCCATATATGGAAATAGAGTCAGAAGCATAATGCCTCTGGTGTGGCTAGAATTGCAAAATGTATAAAAGGTACACCTTGGGCGTAGCCCAGGGTTCAGAATCTGTCATTCTAATGCTCTGAACATTTGCGCAAATAAAAACCTGTGTTCTCCAATCTTTGTGGTCTTGTCTCCTGAATTGTTAATGTGGGTTTTCTCACTACAATACAATAATAGAACAGAATAAACTGATTAAATAACAATTTAAAACAGCAACAGAGACTGAACTATTAACAGTTCCAGCAGAAATACAAAAATTAAAAGACAGAATTAAAAGAGTTTGCTTGACCAAAAAAAAAATTAAAAAAAAATCAAATGACATGCCAGGCCAGGGAGTTCTCTAAAGAATTGGATTACTACATTCATTAAGTGTGCCTCTCAGACCACTCATGCAATCTGTTTTTCATATCTGATATCTTACATAATATAATTAAATAGTTGAAATGGCTATCCTTCATTTTATTATACTTCTTTAAACTTATGAATAATATATATGCATACATGCGTTTATCCATGCATATTCTATAGCTAGGTTAACCATATACAAGCTTTCATACACCCACAAATTACAATTCCTTCCACCAGCATAGCTAACTATAATGGCTGAGAACTCTGAAAATTGAAGTTCAACCTATCTGGATGACTTCAGGCTCAGAAAGGATGGTCTACACAACCATCAGCAACCATCAAAGAGAAGATCAAATTGTACCTTTTGTTAATTATGTTTTAGGCCCAGCTAGGTCTTAAAAGAATAAACCCAAGCCTGATATTTCAAGAGGAGTTATAAACATAATTATAAACATAAACTAGCCAAATGCTTAGAAGTAAGATCTACTCAAAAGATTTCTTCTTAAAAATCTCTAGTGATGGGGCACCCACAATTCTGGAAGCAAGTCGTTCCACTGGTTAATTGTTCTGTCAGGAAATTTCTTCTAAATTCTAGGATGGTTCTCTCCTTGATTAGTTTTCATCTATTGCTTCTTGTCTTGCCTTCAAGTATGTGGTATTTAGTATGAAGTATTCAGGTATTGCTACTTATGGAGCAGATTTAAGAACTATCGCAACTGAAATTATATGAGCTTTAGAGTCTTTCCCTCAGTAGAATTTTGAGGACTGCCTTCAAATCAATGTTAATATTAATCTGGCCATATTCACCATCAACAGGACATCCCATTTTTTACTGACACTTTTATATAATGCCTGGTAACTGATAATGCTTTCTATTAATTATGAATGCAGATTAAAGGCAACAAGCTTATTCTCATTCCAAGAAACAGTGGCTTTTTAAAGTGTTTTTTAATCAGGGCAACCTAGTCTGCCCCAATATGGGATGGAACATACTGCTTCCACTTTCGCCTTTCACTCCAATCCAGGTACCTTCATGGGCAGTCGCTTTCACGACATATTTTTTGTGTTAAATGTATATTTACTGACAAAGAAATAAAGGGAGACTAGTTTAGTTTTATTTCAAGCTATTTAGCTCTTGTCAGCTAGCCATACCCTTCTGGGATTCAAACCTGGACAACTTACATATTAGGCTGAGGTATTAACGTCTAAGCCATGGGCTAGCCAGTAAATATAAATTTAACACATTGGCTTTCTTGTTGGTTTACAAAGGAAGGAGAATGATTCAATCTAAAATATTTTTTAAAAAAATAAAGGGAAATGTATCTAATATTAAAAATTAAAGCAGGTGAAAAGTGAAAGGCAATATATGAATGTTCAAAGCTCCAGAAAAAAAAAATAGGTCAAGCTTTTGAAAGTCCTTTGAAGTTGCTAAACTTGGCTGGATCCAAATAAAGCTCTTATATTTATTACAGGAATCTTCTGTGGTGTTCTATATCCATTTCAAATGAAATCTAGATCCAAGATAACCTTTGATTTGGTACAAAGTGAATTGCAAAACTGATCCCTGGTAGAGTTGAAAATATATGGATTTTTCAGAGTTCAGATTAAAGAGGAAAAGTAGGGTTAGCACTCGTTAAAAGAACATATTATATGTACAATATTATTTATCATAATCTGAAATAATAATGCTGTTAGTATTCTACATACATATACAGTATGGGCCAGTGATTTGAAAATCAATCTAAGCAACAAAAACAGAAGAGTCCAAATAACTACAAATTTAAGATAGGAGCTCAGAATCAAATACTTTTGTTAAATACTTTTGTATTTAACAAAAGTAATCCTAATGCCTAGTGTAGTTCTAAAGACTACAGGGTTATCCAAGGAAGCTATGCTTAGTCTAAGATTGTAATAAAGATGATCTGATTTAGTTATAAAATTCATTTATTTATTTATAAATTTTATTGGCTGCTCATCTTACCATAGAGTAACTCTGGGAGACTTACAGTCATAAAAATTTATTTATACATTAAAACATAAATAAATTAAAACCAAATATTAGAATCCAAGGACATGTGGGGAGGCCAGGGGCGGAGTGGGAGGGGAGGTGGGATCTGTTGTTACTCGATCAACTACCTCACTGTGCTGTGTCCCCAAGCCAACTAGCAAAGCTATGTCTTTAGGTCCTTACAAAAGGAAGGAGGATTGGGGCCAACCTTACATTGGAGAGCAAGATGTTCCAGAGGGCAGAAACAACAGCAGAGAAGGGCCTCCTCCTGGATTTACCAGCTGAAATAATTGACTGATGGGACTCACAGCATCAGTGGGGGATTAGGGCTCACTGGTGCCCTAAGCACGAGATGTTTTAGTTTAGTTTTATCATTATTATTTTTTTACAAATCTTCATTGGCTTTTTTTTCTTTCTTAACTTTGCAGTGCCCCCTTTGGGCCTGGTGCCCTAAGCATGTGCTTAGTCTGCTTAATGGTTAATACACCACTGCACAGCATGCCTCCTCTGCTGACATGAGTGGACAGGCCAATCCCAGTGGGGTGAGACAGTCCCTCAAATAACCTGGACCAATGCCATTAAGGACTTTAAAGGTGATCACCAATACCTTGAATTGCACTTGGAAGCAGATCAGTAACCAATGCAGCTCATGGAACAGTGATGTCATTCGGGCCATTCTTAGGGTCCCCAAAACTGCCCACATTGCCATACTCTGCACAAGCTGTAGCTTCTGAATGCTCTTCAAGGGTAGAGTGCATTTCCTGATCCAGGAAAGGCTGCAACTGGCACACAACATGAAGTTTTGCGAAGGTTCCTTTTCTCTCTTGTCTGAGAAAGATAATTTGATCCATTCTGTTCATTTATGCTTGATAACAATGGGAGAGGAGTGAACTATATCAGACTGAAAGGAACGTGTCTCCACATTCACATCCACCTTCTGTTCACGGGCTGTAATACTGCAGAAGAGCATTATAACACTTTTTTGCTCGAAGTCAATAGAGTCATTAAACTATACGTACCATTAATAACGTACCAAGAGCCTTGGTAGTACAGTGGCCTAAGGCACCTTGTTATTAAGCTGGTTATTAAGACCAGCTGCCTGCAATTACTGCAGGTTCGAATCTCGCCAAGGCTCAAGCCTTCCATCCTTTCTAAGGTAGGTAAATTGAGGACCCAGTTGTGGGGGAAATAAGCTGACTTTGTATAAATATACAAAAGGATGAAGGCTATTGCTGAGCACATTGTAAATCAAATTAAAAAAAAATAAATAACCGCCAAAGCCAAAGCCAAAAAAAAAAAAAAACCAAATTACCCATAACAATAAGAAAGCTTCAATCAAAAAAAAAAAATCTCTTTGATGAAAAAAACAAAACAAAACAAAAAAACAAAAAACAAAACTGGCTACGTAGCTAATTTTAAAAACCGCTACAAAACCTTATGCTACCAGATAACGACAGAATGCACCAATTACCACTGCAAACAGGAGGAAGAGCTGTTACACTCAAAATCCACCCGAGCCTTCTACAATTTTGTAAATGCCAAACTTAAAAGACTCGAAAACTATCCCACCACTAAAAGGGCCTAACAAGGAAGACTGTAATGATGAAGCCATTAAGGTCAACCTCTTCAACACATTCTTCAGCTCAGTCTTTGTCAACAGCAATGGCGTCTGCCCATCATTTCCTAATCGTACCACAACTAATTGCAACGATCTGCTACACATTGATTTTACAGAAGAAAACATTGAAAGGGCACCATGCAACCTAAAGCAATCTCTATCTATTAGCCCTGATGGATTATGTCTCTACTTCCTGAAAAAGTTTCCACTGCCATAGCCAAACCTCTAAGCATTATCTATGAGGTATCTTCCAAAACCACCTCCTTGCCTGACCTATGGTCATTAGCCACGGTCATTCCTATCTTCAAAAAGGGAGAGCTCAGCCTAGTTGAAAATTACCGACCAATCTCACTGTGTTGCATCACCTGTAAAGTCATGGAATCAATCATAAACCAATCCATCATCCTCCACTTAGAGACAAACAATCTGCTCTCTAACAAGCAGTTTGGTTTCAGGAAAAAATTGTCCTGTAATCTGCAATTCCTACACTGCAGAAACATTTGGACCACACAACTCAACCAGGGTAAAGCAATAGATGCAATTTACATAGACTTCTGCAAAGCCTTTGATTCAGTGGTACTACTGTCAAAACTAAGCTCTTACAGCATTTCCGAATCCCTGCACAAGTGGATAGCCACGTTCCTGTCAAACAGGCAACAAGTAGTCAAAATAGGGAATGCCCAATCAAACCCAGCACCAGTTAACACCGGTGTCCCCCAAGGCAGCGTTTTAGGACCCACACTCTTTCTGATTTACATAAATGACCTTTGCGATCGTATTATAAGCAACTGCATCCTCTTTGCTGATGACGTAAAATTATTTAACACCACTGACAATACTGCTGCTCTACAAAGTGAACTTGACTATGTGTCAGAATGGTCGAACAATTGGCAACTCTAAATGGCAACTAACAAATGCTCTGTCTTATACATTGGCAACAAAAATCAGAACACCAAATACAAGCTGGGTGGATATGACCTCATAGATGACCCTCACTCTGTAAAGGACCTAGGAGCACTCATCTCAAACGATCTAAGCCCCAGAACTCACTGTAACAGCATTGCCAAAAAGGCATTAAAAGTTGTTAACCTAATTTTGTGAAGCTTCTTCTCTGGTAACACTGTACTGCTAACTAGGGCATACAAAACCTTTGCCAGACCAATCCTCAAATACAAAATTTTGGGCCTGGACAACCTGGAACTATGCCACCTATGGTCTAACCTAAGCATAGTACACTAAATTGTCTGCTACAATGTCCTACCTGTCAATGACTACTCTAGCTACAACCTTAATAATATTCAGGCAAACAATA